GGTTCGCCCCAGATGTGGAGCTCAATCCGTCAGACCAGGTGCGAGAGCCGGCGACAATGCTAACCACGAGGGAGAAAGCTGCGGATGGTGTGAGCGAGGAGAGGAGCTCCGCCCCCTGCACCGCGGCTGAGGGTGAGTTCAGTATGTCGTGGCGAAAGTGCCAAAGCGAAGAGGAGAGGGCTTCAGTCCCCGAATCCAGTCCAGAGCGTCCTCCAGTGCCCGCTCCTAGAAAGCGCCCTCCAGTGCCCACTCCTCCCCGCCATCGCCTCAGTACTCCGCTCCTCCAGCTGCACCTCGTCACTCCGTCCCACCTGCTCTATTGGGCTCCTTCCTCCCGTCGGCTCCACCCTGGCCCCCCGGATCCTCGGCATCCCCCTGGCTCGTTGGCTCTCCGTCTCCACCTCGGGCTCCTCCGCCACCTGCTCCGCCGCCGTTGGTCGGCCCCCTGGAGTCGGCGACCATTCCTCCTCCATGGCTCCTCCCTCCGTCAGCTCGACCGTGGGCCGTCATTATGGCTGTGGCCTGGGTCCAACTGGACTTCTCCTGCTCCAAGCCCCTCCTGTCTAATCCCTGGCTCCTCCCTCTATCGTCTCCTCCCTGGACTCTGTCTGCCGCCCCCCTCCCGGGTGTCCGTCCTCCTCCGGAACCTCCCCCTTAGTTCCCACCCATTCCCCCCCTCTGTTGTTCTACGGTGCGAGGACGCACCTTCCGGGAGGCGGGCGATATGTCAGGGTTCTGGACTGTCTGTGTGTGTTTTGCTCCCCATGACCTAGTTTCTCCTCGTGTTAATTGCATTAATTTGATTGATTCCATGCACCTGTGTTCCCCCGATTGCCCTGTGTTTATTAGCCCCAGTCTGTATAGTCTTCCTTTGTCATTTCTACTTGCTGGATGTTGTGAAATTCCCGTCATTCCCAGGATTAAAGATTGTTTATGTACTCCACATCTCCTTGTTTCTCGTTCTGCGCTCCTCCTAGCACAGATCGTGACAATATTACATTTATACGATCATTTGAAATATTAATCAGCCTTTATCACTCAAATTCAACTATGCTTATGTTTTTGCTACGGCACAGATGCATCGCATGTCTATCCATCTCTCCCAAAAGTTCATGGGAAAGAATTCAGACCGTCTTTTCACCTTATCAGTCCTCATTGTTTGAAATATTTAACCAGATGGAGACCGAACCATTATGATTTGAACCGTACTGTTTGTACACATGTTTCGGATGCAATTGCGTGATTTGAAATGTCTTTATTGTCCCTATATCGTAAATAGCATACATTCCTCTTTTAGTTCCTCAGGGTCTGTCGTTATTTAAAATGGTAACAGTTAATAAACAAATTGTAGACTGTCTGTATATTTAAATTCCATGTTATAGTTTTTATTTATTCTAACTACTCTGCCTTACAAACGCGTTTTTTACAATCAAATACAATCAAATATATTTAAACTAACGAAGTCAAAATGTTCATCCCCCCCCCCCCCC